AGCAACCAACTTTTACATCACATTTCTATTGAAGGCTGTCCTAAAGTCCGTCTTATGGAATATTCGAGCTGGTATAGCAAAGGACCTGCTTGGATTTTTTCACCTTTCAGATGAAATATTCTCTTTTCATCAAAACCATCGGGAATCCAATCATTTTCCCTCCTTTCCGTCGGGTATACGATTATCAGTTTATCCACAAGTTCTTTGTTTCCTGTGAACGCGTCGAGTATAACTTTGCCGTCAAACGTGATGAAACCATCTTCAGTTTCTTGCTTCTGGTCTTTGATGAGTGAGGACGCCTGGCTTGTTCCGAACAACACGACGCAGTCACTGCTGCGAAGTGCCCAAGAAAGATTCCGTTTCTGTGCTAAAATGCCCGCGATACTTCTTAAGTCAGCTATATTTCTTAATCTGCCCTGTAAATAATCTTCGAGTCTTTCGGCCGCGTCGCAGTCGTGTCCAGTGTTAAGGAACATAACGTACTTCATTTTCGATTGGAATATGTGCACAACAGTACAAATGATTTGTTTAAGCTGGGTTTGCGGTGTTGGTTAGCACCCGTGAATTTATATCATAGGGATAGGACTGGAGGAGGATGACTATTTTAAGTAAGAAATGCAAAGTAGGCGTTTTACACGTCAAGAACAAGGTGGGTGCCGATGAAAACGCCTTTACCTCATAGTATCGACCTGAAGCGAATGCATGAAGAACGTTGGTTAAAGAAGAATATCATCAAAAGTGTCGACGGTTAAACATGTGAATTGCCATTGACTTTGATCTTGAGATTCAAAACTCGTGAAAACTAATAAGGGCGTGACCTGCTGCCGTGCAAGAGTTACTCCATGGTGTTGAAAATTTTCTAGAAAAAGAAACACGTCACCAAATGTAGCTGTACCTTTTCATATGAAAATTATATTTTCCATCCAATTAGCACCTATCGTAACGCAGGAACAGCCCTTGAAAACATTCTTCTCTGCTTGCGCAAATTGGGTTTGAATGCTGTTTGCCTCGTGTTAACTAG